AAGCAGAGTGGCGCAGTGGAAGCGTGCTGGGCCCATAACCCAGAGGTCCGTGGATCGAAACCACGCTCTGCTAAGGGATTTTTTTTTCCTAAAAAAAAACTGAATTCCCATAATGCACCAAGGCATCGTCCATCGACATGTCCGTACAAGTCCTTAAGAAGCAGAGTGGCGCAGTGGAAGCGTGCTGGGCCCATAACCCAGAGGTCCGTGGATCGAAACCACGCTCTGCTAGTAATATTTCTTTTTTCATACCTCGGGGTGTTTATTTCTTAAGTGCACTGGGGGTAGCTGCCCCAAAATTTTATACCTAACCCTTATAACAGCAGAGTGGCGCAGTGGAAGCGTGCTGGGCCCATAACCCAGAGGTCCGTGGATCGAAACCACGCTCTGCTAGAATATTTTTTTTTATAAGAATTTATATGTGTGGTTAGCATTTATTGAATGTTATACTTTAATGAAATTTCGTTCACCAAGCAGTAAAATATATATTTTTCAATATGTATTGCAGCTCTATTGTAACGTATTATACGTGTCATGATTTTCTGTTTATAAATAAATTCAAACATAAATTCAATACAGGGAAGAAATATTTTGCGAGTTTATATGCTGTTATTTTTAAAAGCTCTTCACGTAAAAGCAGAGTGGCGCAGTGGAAGCGTGCTGGGCCCATAACCCAGAGGTCCGTGGATCGAAACCACGCTCTGCTAAGGGATTTTTTTTTCCTAAAAAAAAACTGAATTCCCATAATGCACCAAGGCATCGTCCATCGACATGTCCGTACAAGTCCTTAAGAAGCAGAGTGGCGCAGTGGAAGCGTGCTGGGCCCATAACCCAGAGGTCCGTGGATCGAAACCACGCTCTGCTAAGGGATTTTTTTTTCCTAAAAAAAAACTGAATTCCCATAATGCACCAAGGCATCGTCCATCGACATGTCCGTACAAGTCCTTAAGAAGCAGAGTGGCGCAGTGGAAGCGTGCTGGGCCCATAACCCAGAGGTCCGTGGATCGAAACCATGCTCTGCTATTTTCCATAAATTTTACATTTTGCATTCCTTCATTACGTGTTCCAACCATTCGTGCATCGCAAGACGAGTAGTTCTCGGGAGAACGAGAGGAAGAACGAAAAAACCGTAATCTTTCACATTTAATCGGCAAAGACCGTAAGTATTCCATCGGCGCATTTCGCATTGCCTTCACTTCAAAAGAAAGAATGTACTAAACGAGTATTGACAACATGCAACATTACAATTAGCAGTAGTATTTTAAACAAAAACAGGCATCCGCATGCCTTTCACCGTTAACAGACATTAGCCAATCAAATCTTTTTCGCGAATGCATTTTATCCCGATACAAGTCGTTTTGGCACACCCTATACCAAAAAATGTATTCCCACAAATATCGAATATCTCGATTCAACCTGAATTTCGTGACCTGTGTACCCCTGATACGCTAACTTTAACATTCGCTCAGAAGCTGTCCCCATGATTAATTATTCATGGCCACTGCCATGACTCTGGCAACCATAACCAGTTTACTAATGGCAGTAATAGCAACCAATTCGATCCACCATCCAGAGGATATAAAGTGCCTGCTTCTGCTATATGGACTCTTATCGAATATTATTCCAATGGGGTTGATCTTATTCATTGACTCACTTATCTTCGATCCCTGGTGTATTAGCGTCGACAAAAAAAAAATAAAAACTTTCTCGAGCAAGTTCAACGACGCTTAACGGTCCAAAATGGATTTGTTAAGCGTGATAAACTATGTCGAACACGTGAATACGTATGTTTCGTTCTGTCGCCCGAGACGTCACTCGATCAGATATTGGATAAATAATGTCTCAGCCTCGCACGACTGTAAGACACTCGTTCGCAGTGCTCGAACGGCTTGGCGCTTTGGTGAATCCCGTTCGACCAGCTATGCTCTTGATTGCGTTTCGAATTTACGTGTAAACTAAAAAACATGTTTTTTAATTTCGAGAAAAAAAGAATTACATACGGATTAAGGACACGATCCTATAGCAAATTTAATTCACGAAAAGAATGAAATCGTTGACGATTCGCGCCATTAAACACTCTATGTGTCTTTCTCTTACGCATATACATAAGTGTTCATAGGTATATCTCCCTCGTACTCATTGCACTAGGACATGGTCAAAATTTAAGGCACTACAACGGCCTGGGCTGTATAATCATTTCTAACCTACTGTTAGCAGACGTCGAACGTATTATAACCCGAGTCTATGTGCATATATATGGTTCTTATAAATTAATTGGAAAATACTGATTCATCCTCCGTGACAACTGGCTGTGTGAAGTTCCAATAAATGCACGAGACTTCCATAAAGAATTCCGGTAACGGTGGACAGGGTTAGGTATCAAGAATGGGCATGGACCGTCTCCACGGGGTCCAATGAATTCTAGCGTTTCGTTGCCAGCGGCTAACTGCCTCGACGCATCCCCGCTGTGCACACCGATGGTAACTGCACGGTACATTTGTTTGCTCTAATTTTAATTAAAGTTAATACATGATTTTCGAGGTAATCGGCCCGAGCGAGCAAAGCGATAGCCGGAAAGCCATACGTCATCCGGTACTCCAGGTCGATTCTTTCGCATGGGTATTGGCTTTGCTTTTTTTCACTTTTTTTTTTACATTTTTTTATTGTCCTTATAACTATCGATTTTCGTCTCGTTATAGCTCGACGTATGTATATATGTATGACGATGCAGGTTGATGCAGTGCAGTGGCTTAATATCCCTGTCCCAATCATTCATGGTTAATGGAAGCCGATTGTAGCCTGCAGGGCGAATTCGTATGGCTCGACAAAGCTGCATCCATTTATAGCATCAGCCTGATAAATTAATAATGAATTGTGTCGCGTTGAGCGAATGCAAAAAGAAAACGGGGTTATTTGTTAGAACAGGTCAAATTGCAAATTGAACGTGGGGTTCTCGTTGAGATTAAAGGTGCAGACCCATGATTAGAACGTATGGTAATTGTTTGTCGTCACGTACCTACGCATAATGTCGCTCCAATCTGACTGATCGTTCTCATTAGCTAAGCTAATCACGAATTTTATTTTAATTACTTGGCGATACAGGGACTCGACTTACCATGAAGTTGACTTGACGAGCATACAATTGTACGGTCACGTGTTTGCCGTTAATTCAGCAACAAGAAAACAATAGTAATTCCATACCAATTTTTCTACGTGTATCTCCACATGAATTAGCGAGAAAAAAAAAGAAACTGATTTAGCTACCATGAAAAATGTTTCTCTCGCCCTGATGTCAGTGGGCAATATCAGGATACGTCTTCCTGGCTTGCGAAACCGTTTCTCTTGCTATTGCTCGTTTAAATAATCTTGAAACATGCCTTCACGGACGGAGCCGGCCAACTCATGGATGGCTTTACGATCGACTCTCGTCGTTAATTAAGAGCTTGTAATTATTTAGTGGAGACGCTAGCGCACCCCCGCCGGCAACGAGCCAACCTTACTCTCCCTCGGTCGACTTGATTTACACTCTCGCGAAGAATGCGTCGGCTCGCTTTGCTCCATTTTATATTTCGTTTTGACTTGCGCCGCACTTCGTCTTCGCCAAACTTGTCGAACTCTGCCTCGATTGCGATCACCGAGAATTTTCCACATTTGGAATATTTTTTTTCTTTGAATTAAAAAAAAATATAATAATCGACAGGCAATCGATCGCAGAAGTGAACAGGTCGCGTTTGTGATTTTTGAAACTTCACACGGAAGGTACTTCGAGCTAGAAACAAGATCGGTTAGGATCAAAGGGGCTGTACAAATTGAAGCAAATCAGGTAGGTAATAATAATTAATCTACAGAGAGCATTAATACCAGACAAGGCCCACATATCATTGCATCAAGGGTACAGGGCTTTTTCGATGTTTGAGCTCTCAATTACGTGCAAGAATTATGAAGCTGGAACGTGGCTAACGATAGGTAAGTAAAGGCCGAGAGACCAGAGTGCCCTGGGCTTCCCGATTGTGTCTTCATTAGCGGCTATTAATTGTCAAAATGTGCCACATAATTCAATTCGAATTCACCCACCTGGTATTCTCCTACGTACTCGCCTAGAGAAATACGACTTTTGACAATGTTACACGCGTACACGTATATAATATAGGACTGATAACAATAATTGTGTGGATGAATTCTTGCTGTTCCGGTACATACGTTATCCCCCTGACAATTACAACTAAGATACTGAATCATTATTTCCACATATATATCCCTTCTACACGTGTATCGCAAGGCTTGCATGACAAGTAAATTAAGGAGAGAAGCGTAATCGCACGATAATTCATACGATCGTCCGCGGCTGATAAGTAAATAAAAGTAATCGTGAAATATAATTCACTATCAACCTTATCATTGAACGCTATCGCACGCAGTATAACATGGCAGCATGCGTATATTAGTGAATTACGGAGAATGAATTTTACGTAGCAAGGAAGATGGTGGGAGGGGGTGCGTCTCCCATGGGAGGGTCAGAGGTCATTGTACGGTTTTCCTACTTGAATTTAAACCCAGGATAAACCGACCCTTCTCCTTTCCTCGACTTCCTCGATGGCGCACACACAAAGGGGCGTTAGAGACCAAGCCACGGGCCGGACGATACGTACCCTTTGACCTTTACCCTAAGTTATTACTTTTATCCAGGCAAAACTTCAAGATATACAAAAGGCCCCCACCAGAGCCCCTGAACATTCAATCGACACTATCTGCCCAATTAAGCCATGCTAACTCCTGACGATCGCGCCACCACAATCGGCCACCCCTTTCTCAACGTTTTCCCTTATTAACTTTTTTCCCTTCTCTTTGTATATCTCGCGTGAGATACGAAACTGGCTGTCGCGAGACGAGGGTAAATTACGGCGGACACTGTTTCCTGATGCTGTCACTATGGGGTCTGTTCGATGGATCGCACTGAATGCTATCTATAGGATATCTGCAGTAATAGGAGCTGTCAAACTCACATGGGGAATGATAAATTAAGAAGGCAAAAGTTTTTGATTTCGAATATTACATAACCATCTTCATAAAACAGACTGCTACAACAAGCATAGTGCTGATAACAATACTCAAGTTTAATATCGAACTTGAAATCTATGAGCATTTTCAGTATGTACGACGTTATAATGGACAATCACTGGTTGATGTGCGCGTAAACACATAGAGCAAACTTAACAAACATGGCGTGACTGTCGGTTTCTGGGGATGAGAGAAAGAGGGGGGGGGGGAAAGAGAGAGAGGGAGAGAGATACGTAGATCAAGCAGATTCTAAGCAAGCTAGGTTCAAAAGGGCGCAACTGGAGAACAACCATGGCTTTCCACTGACACTCCTCCTATTACCCCCGGGGGTTAAATAACTCTCTATCGCCCCAGAACACACAGGGGTGTGTTTGCGAGCCTGGCTCATGGCATGTACCTGATTTTACGTCCATATTTTATCTAGCGTCGCCGTTCGATACCAACCGAGGGATGAGTTGACGTATAGGGCGTATGGGTAAAGGAAAGTGATAAATCATTTAAGGGTCCGTCATGGCTATTTGCCGTACCTCTACGTTCACCCTGCATTTCTCTAGCAACTCTTTACCCTCCCCGGTACTACTTTCTCCTTCATTTTTTCCATGTCTCCATTGGCTACACGATATCGTTAAGCAATCTATGGATTCGAGTTACGTAATAAAAGCTTTACGTATCTCGTGGCACGTTAATCGGCATTACTTTTACGTTAACTTACCTGATGGAAACCCAGGTAGCTTTCTATGCTGTGGGTGGCGAAGAAAACCTCACCGTCGCAAGTCAGTATTAGCAGGAACCCGTTCAGTGCCTGTAACAAAGAAAAAATTCTAATGGTTCAATTTCATCGTGGAATATTGTACTTTGCGATCAATCGTCATGTCGAATGGCTGTTAATTAACAATCTAAAAGGATTTAATGTAATGTTTGCGATGGTCTGCTCGAAACGTTCACGCGAACTTTTCCCATTTATCTCGAAAGCGATACAGCGAAGTAGCAAACGAGCATGGCAACTCGAGAGTGCAACGTTTATGGCAACCGAAAATATCCGCTCTAGTTTTAACAGCCTTCGACTACTATTGACTAGTGTAGTAGGAAGAGTAGCCATTTAAACCTAGCTCGCTCCGTTTCGAGCTCTAAATGTATTGTTTTGTTTTATTTCGCTAGGGGCTCTTCCGTACCAGGCACGCCAAGGCAGCCTTTATTGTTCTGAAATATGGTGAGACGACTGGGCTGTGTTGTATCGTTTTATAAGGCCATACTTTTTCTGGCCCGCATATCCCACTGGTGTCTGCCACATTTTTCAAATGCTCCATGCAGACATGTCTTATTGACATGGAAGTCATTTACTCATCTCTCTACGATTTGGGTGGCGTGCCAAGTTTGAAAGTCTGGAAAATCCCAGGTTGAAAATGCACCTGCGAGAAGGCGGGTTCCCCAGGCGAAATTCAGTCTAGATACGAGAGCAGCTTCTATCTAGATTACAGGGGCGAAGGGGTAGGTTATTTATATTGCGAGGGGATAACGATCAGTTCATCGATGGTGGTGACACAGAATGGAAACCTTGGCGACGACCGCATGCGCGGATGCTGCGCCTTGGTTGGTTGATGTCGACGGGGGGGTGAAACTCGGAGTGCGTCAATACAGATGTGCGCCAGAGTGAGTGTTCGATTCACCCTTGGTCTCAGCCTTTTTGTCCCCCTGGAAGCTTAGTGCAGTCTGATTCGAAAGATTCAACTCCTCCTACGAGGTTCAGGGGGTGGATGAGAGTCTCGAGGAAAATGGCTCCCGGTAGCACGTGTTAAAAAAGTCATAGACAGTTTCTATACAAATTGTGTATAATACATATATAAATATACATATTCTGTATACATATAATAAATTCACTGTATAGTATACATCTGTCGAAATAGAAATGTGAAAATTATTAGTAAAGTAATGGATGGTAAGTACTATGTATTTTTTCACACGGGGTTAGGGGTTAGGTTATGTTAAGGTACACACGGTATTTTCATATTCCTCTTTGTACAAGGTCGGCACGTTTAAGATTGCATTAGCACGGATAATCTTAAATTCTTTGAGTTCGCATCTATAAGAAAAATTTGATAAGCCTTCTCAAGATGCCGAAGATAAGCCTATGCGTAAGCAAAATACGAAGACTCGGAATTGGTCAGTAGTCCAGTCGCGTGCTACCTGGTTTCGCGTGTATTCGCGTGTTCCATCGAAGCGTGAGCTCTTAATACCCGACCTTCTTCCATCCTGACTCTCCTGCGTTCGTGGGTTCGTTGGCCCAATAAAGCTTCACGCGAAATTTCCACGTTCCAGTGCACATGCAAGTGCGAGATGAAGTCACGAATCGAACACGTAAGGGCGAACAGGTAGGATCGATTCAGCGCGCACGGCAAGGAAAACCTCAGAGACAGAGAATACTCTTGTCGCATCCACGAACGAACGATAACTTGAACCTGATAGATTCCAGTGGCGCGAACTCGCATTGCAATTGAGCCGTCCCTGATATCACGGACCTACGACAGAATGATGCAATTGATAAATATAAATTTCCTATATTGCACAACTACATTGGCTATCCGATTGGCCGTCGAAGCGGCCTCCCTAGCGCACTTGATTCCTAGTTTAAGATTTGTCGTGTCGAGTGATCGCTCGCGATTACTAGAAAGCACCGAGGCGACGCTGGCACGCGACACCCCGGCATATACATTGCGTAACGGAAAGACGACGAGAAAGATGCGTGCGTGCCTTGTGAAGGGGTGCGTGGCTCATCCGTTGCGACAGCGTCACCTGCAGCTTCGGCAGTCATGCATATAGCAAGCGATAACGCTTTGCGTTCAGACGTCAAGAAGCGAAGGTGCCCGACGTGTGCATCGATCTGACAAACGGCCGACAGATTATCGCTAGAGCGTTTATTCGTAACGCTGAAGCATACAGTCCTTCTACTCGCTTGGTTGGTCGCTAGTAACCAAAAGTGTTCCTTCGAACAGCCCCCGTCCGGTGAGTAATCCTTATAAGATTTTCATGCTTAAAAATTGAACTACAATTCAAGGGAAATCGTAGCATTGACTTGTGGGGTTTCTAGATTCTTCGAAGTATAATAGTTGGTTGAAAATCTAGCATAAGTCGTACGGTTTAATGGCAGGCAGAAGCAGGCAGAGGCAGGCAGAAGGTAGGAGCCAGTCTGGCGATATATAAGGTATAAGAGTGGGTAAGAGAGGGCCGACGTGGTATCTAAGGGAGGAAAGGAGCTCACGATCAATACGGGAAGGACTAGCGGTGCCAGACCAAGGCGAGCCCCGTCGTCCACTAACCTAACCTCATATCATCCCAACCCCATCCCATGCAGCGACCCAACCTACTCTTACCTTACTTACCTTTGACTCAGCCCTCGGCACTGACTCACCCCTCTCTAACGTTCAGCGCCATGTTTCGGTCCTCCTTGATTTCGGCGAAGTTCGCCTGCGCTTCTTTGCGACGTCCTGGACGACCTTAGGGGGGTCTCTTAAGCTCTTTTTTTTTTGTTACTTGGTTCACCAGGAGAAAAATAGATTATGGAGCTGACCTGTTCTATGGCCTGTATTATTTTTTGGCTTGTCGATCGTGCTGCACACTCTATCGGGATACCATTGTTCTCTATTGTTCGTTGCTGGTAGATGCATCTCCCGACGCTGGTCGTTTGATTGAATTTCGAAATAATTCATTTTCTATGTCGAAGATACTTTTTCTTCTCTCGCCTGAGAGATTGCCTATGTTGTCTCATGTAGGGAGCAATCGGCCTGGAAGCAGAAGGCACGACCACCGGACCAGACATGCAACCATCAGCAACAAGTAAGACCTTATAGCATGGGAATAACTTGGTCGCTCGCTAGCTCGCCAAGTTACTACGTCACTGAATTCACTTAAGTCGAGACTTGCTTACTCGTTCGCTCACACGGAGACGTGATCTAAATTGCCTGGCACACGAATACCAGTGCGATACGGGAGTGTTATAACTGGAATAGCCATTCCGAAATTTTCATTCGTCTTTCTCTAGTCGAGAAATTCCCTTGGCTGAGGCTTCTCCATATCCAGATCGGAAATTAGAAAATAACCTACGCGCCACGTTGTGATAGAATTTCAAATATGTAGATTCGGCTCGATAACGAAGGAACAGCAGATTTCAGGTACCAAAATATGTAAAGTGGGGAAGCCTGGAGTGCAAATGGTTAATACAGTATTTATTGCGCATGTAAGACAAATATATGTCGTATTTGTCGGGAAAAATACGTTTTCAACCGTTACGATTTGAAATTGCAAACTAGGACCCTGCGTGATTAACGAAATTATGATGTAAAAACAGTAAAAATTGTAATTACGATTCTTTTCAGCTATTTTATATATTTTGATAATGGAATCGAAATACCAGCGTATTATTATCTATCCGACGTAAGTTATACTCCGTTTTGGAGTGAAAAGTGTCATGAGTGTGGTAAAAGAATTGCAATTACGGACGCTGCGGGGGGGAAAGTGTATGGACAAGAACATAGGATCTATTTTTTCTCTCCATTTTCAAGGTTACACTCATTCCCAGAATCCCTAAACGGAACAGACATCGTAGCTAATAAATATGAGGAAGGAAATTAAGGTATGTATGATGTTCCGAAAAAATGATTAGTTTTTTTTTAAAGAAATACATTTTCCCGCCTATGACGTTATAATTCAAGATGTATACAATGTGAATAGGGAAGAGTCTTAATGCTTTATATATCGCTAGAGCTCGTTAAAGTCCACTGAATAACAATCCCTGAAAATCACCGGGACAACACGGGGTTTATGGTCATAATGTAGTAATCCTTCCTCCTCTCCCCTTCCACTCTTTCAGCTCTACAGGTTTAATTTCCTATCTGATTATAGGTTGGAATAGTTGGACGTTATTTATGACTAAGAAAAATCTGTTCGTAAAGTTCAGTTACACAAATGCTATGTCACGATGAGCCACCTCCTGCCCTGTAACCAACGCAACTTCTGTCTTTTTTTATATGGGGATATACTGTAATTTGTTCGACTCAGGAACAAAGACCAGTTTGGAATCCACAAAATTGGCTAGATATAATTATGCTTGATTTCGCAAATAAGTCTCCGTAGAGACTGTCAAAAATTGCCGTAGCCGATGGTATTTCACATCGTCTTGGCGGGGTATTGGTAAAAGTTTTCAACTAGCAATAATCGCACCTCGGACGAACCTCATTGGTTACGATATCGCCACTGCGCAAAGCTAAAGATCCTTATTTCAGTATTGGTTATATGAAAGGCAGGACCGTCCTCTTACATAGAGAAACATTGACGCGGTTCGCCACCTATCGGATATTTTCCGAACGTTCCAGCATAGCTACTAAATGTAAAAGCGCATTATTTTCATAAAATTAGTAACAATTTACAGCATAACTAGGACAATGGCACTAGTGCTTTCCCGAGGCTAGAATAAAAGACGTCATTCCATTCTCTCTAATAAATAATATACTAGAGTACTTTCATTCGTTCTATCTTCCATATCCTTTCTCCATTGTGGTTGCGAGTCAGATCGGATCGCACGTAATATAATACAATTTTTATACACCCTAATAATTCAGTACCTCCGTATTAAATCCATATTAAAATGTAGTGAAATTAGTCAGATTATTTTTTTTGCTTCGCGTTAATGCTCATACACACATGAAATCGTTACCAAGGTTACGTAAAGTGATTGTACATACAAAATAAAAAGTGTCTGGAGGTCATGAAACTGTTGCGTTACGTTACAAATGTAACATCCGTATGTGCAGTAATATTTTTTTAATATAGAATACACGTCACAGACCGAAGAAAGATTTTAGCGAATGGATAAGACGAATAATAGAAGCTCGCGTTGATCAATAGAACTGCCTATGAAAAGAATGAGCTCTAACACTGAATGAACTCTATATAAATTTTTCCACGATTCTTTTAGGGCATCGTCTTGCTCAATCCGTATGGCCGAGGCTCAACATTAATAACAATCAAAGTCTTAACGTGGCATGGATGTATGTCTGCCGTTAGTATAAAACCACAGGCTAATGACCGAAGAGCAAATAAAAAGTCGTGTCAAGAAATAGGTAAATAGATGAGCTTATTATAAAATCATTAAGGTCAGCAAGGGCCTTAAGGACGCCAGTGGCGTCGAGCCATCGAGTCTGTAAGAAATTAGTTCTAATTTCAAAGGATCATTTTTCGTGTCTACCCATTCTTGTCCCACGTTAGTGCTATACGTTTCTCTGGCCGACAGTAAAACTTGAATTTTCAAGACAACCCTGCGCAGGACACGTGTCTTATTCTTGAGTTTTGTGCAGTTCGTGACAAAACTGGCAAGCCTGTAATACATATTTGGTATAGTGTCCCAGCATCTATATGCATATAAGGCAATCCATCAAGCATCCAAAGACTGTCGGTAACTACCTCGAGAAGGAACCGAATATGCCTCTGCCTATTGATTTATGGAAATCAAGGGTCGCTTCGAGTCGGAGTTCAGCTTCGATTCTGAGTATAAATAATTTGCGTTCCCTGCAGCAAACTTCACATCTCCCCCAATACATCTACGACTCCTGGACTCCGTGGAAGTCCACGTGCATCTTGCGATCCCCCATAAACCTTACGGACGCTCATAGTAAATCTGCTTTACGACAAGATGGTCACCGACCACCAGGGCAATTTGGGTACCGTCAAAATTAGTCGGTGCAATCATATTTTTATATTCTCCCCAATTATACCAGGCGATACGAATTGAAAAATGGATCTTTTTATGTTCTCCACGGTACGGGGACACCTGCCCGTTTTCGGAAATACTCGGACGGTGGTATAGGTGTCTTGCTCGAATCTATATAGAAATATGGATGCGCTCAAGAGGCAAGAAAGAATGCCGTTGATAAAGTCGTCAAAGTTTCGTGCCGTGGATCAAGCTTCGCTTACAGGGATTCATAAGGTAAGGTAATTAACGAACCAATAATTAATAACGGCGTGCTATAGATGCCGGCAGGGTTCGATCCTGGTTTGCGTCTTCTTCATCAGGATTGTATGTAAGGCGTGTATGCACCTAAAACGCAGCCACGAGAGTGTAATAGCATCGCATGATGCAGCGCCATTAATCGGCCTGCCCTTCCATACTTTGGACGAATAGACACCTTGTACGCTTCGGTTCATAGCCGGTTCATCATCTCGATATCTCTCTCGGGATGATTTAATTTTACCAGGCTTTCCGCGGCGGCGCGGACGCCGCGTGCCGCGTATCTGTGCTCACGCTCCGCCGTATTCTAATAAATTCAGTACAGGAACTGCTACAAGAGTAATTAAGAAATTAACGAAGGACATCGATTGCGCGTGTCCACGCAATGCTCTACATATAGTCACTAATTCGAGAGACACGTGACGATTAAACAAATAATATAATGACGTCAATTTAAATGCATAGCCAAATTTGGTAGAGTCATTGAAAATCTCTTTATCGGCACAAGAATCAATAGACCGGGCGTTCGAAGTGTAACGAATCAATCAATCGTGGAGTCAGTGGGAATCTCAATTATCGGCCGTTTAACCAAGCCAACACCACCACCACCCTTACGCAACGGTATAGATTCCCTACTGAGCCGCTGACAGCTCATTCGTACCAGGGTTAGCTAGTTGATCGCTATCGGTCCAGGCTATTCCCTTTTGACGGTCAATCGGATCGCTTACATGACGAACCGATCCAATCATAGCTGCCTCGTTCATAGTTAGGGGAAGTCCCGCATACTGTTGGATAGACAAGAGACGCTTCGTCAAGTGCCCGGTTCTTCTTCCGATCCATCCATCCAGCCATTCGAATGTCCATCGATCAATGAGAATACGCAGTGACGGTAGGGAGATTGGGTCAGAGATGGATGGAGTATACCGGTACCGTTCAGACTGTTACGATGAAACAAATTGATCGACTTGCCAACGTATAGCCTCTCGACCTGCCGAATCACCTTGCGAGCGCGAATATTCAAACCATTCTTACGAATGAGTGACTATGCCTGAGTTTCTTGTCATTCTTCTTGTCACTTGTGATAAAATTATTTTTTTTCACAGATATATCAACCGTGTGTCTTATATTAAATACACCTTAGTAATTTTCGGCATCTTTCATTGACTCACCTGTAGGAACATTTCGCCGTCGAGATGATGGTGATCGTAGGCAGCCAGTGCTGCCAATTCTCTCGCCCGATAATGCGAGTCGTGATGTGAATTCTCCTCCTTATCCTTGTGCATTACCACTGTAACAGAATCCGGATAAAGGTATCTTGAGTGACCGTCTTCTCTTTGGGAATAAGTGTAGCAAATAAAAGCTTACGCGTAACACGGTGGGTATACAATCAAATATAAATTAGTACTATACCCTTTAATTTTGCACAGGCGAAAATACCGTGTCGATATACACACTATTTTCATGCAGGAGCAAATCGTCCTGGCGATTCAAGGGGGATACGCAAGGTTTACGAGTTACAGTATATTACACGTATGTAGTATACAATAAATATATAGGTTGCATATGCTCTGGGTATATTTCAGTAGAGCTATAAGGTCCGAGCCGATGCTCCTGTAACGGCTGTAATCACAATCAACTTTATGATTTCTTTACGTTCAGATATTAACCGGACCGAGTTGGTTTCTTATCGCAGGAGTCCGAGCTATGAAACGATTTATGACAGCCACCCTTACATAATATTTACAGAGGATTCTCAGCGGTGGTTCGAAAGCTCTATGGGGGTAAGGAAAAAGTCGAATAAGAAAGCCATTAGTTCTCTGATATTAGGGTGGTACAAGATTATCGAGGAAGCAGTTGCAAATCGATGGGCGGTTTTACAACATACGAAAAAAGGAGTAATGTTTTATTTCAAAACTCGCGATCCTCGAGCCGAATTGACTATAACTTTCCTAGTGGGCAAGAGACAAACGTGTATTTATCGTAACGGTTATATGAGTCTAACCGCATGGTAAACCAGACAATTTGCTGGGTATATTTATTATATGGATATTCGAATCCACGCCTATGATTGTATCTTTATACAACAGTCGAGTGAAATCCTTTGTTCTTAAACAGGAGTATGTACAAGCTGAAGGATCTTTCGAGAAACCGGGACAACTTAAAACTGACTGGCTTATTATTTAGTGGCCCCAGTGGTCCCGTATGTTCTAATTACGCCACGCATATTAAACAGGTCGAAGGCAGGTGTACGAAACTGTTACAGATCAGGAGAATATTATAGGGGTCTAAGAGGTAAGTGTCGCATGCATCCGGTCGAATTTAATGCGTGGATTTATTAACGATCTTCATCGATGTCATTATCGCTGATATGAAGAAACAGTCAAATCGCAATGTCAAAGGTCATTCGAATATTATGGATACGTTTTTCTATACTAAATCAGCATCATTGATCTCGTTAGATAAAGTCAAGACTTATATATATTAATGATTGGTTTTGTTAATTAGCAAGGCTCTCAATGCGGATGCGTACACGAGCGTCCGTGGTTTCGTATGAAGTACTTAGCGTCGAAGTGTATCCATGCGTGTGCGAGGATGGGCAGCACGTCGACGCTCGCGCTCGTAAAGAGTCGCACGCAATGCCGAGGAGCACGCGTGTGCCACGCGACCCTTCGGGCCATCATCGCCGTCAAACAGGATATACGAACGTATGTACCATCGTCATTGGGGTAAAGACTGGATGACTCTACTGGGTTCCCTTTACGGGTGGATGCTGATCAGCTTTCGGGCAACGAGCTCCTGACTTGGTGTCCGTGACTAATGTTTCCCGAAGAATGGGGTAGGTACGGTTGGATTCTTGTGGGAATTACAAGTTGAAGGTCGGGACAGCGACGTGTGGGAGGACCGAAAGGGGTCAAGATTAGACATTATTAGGGCATTTACGTAGGTAATGATGAGGTTGAATGTGGGGGTCTAACAATTTTTGATATTTGAATTTATTTTCGAGGTAAGACTGGGTCGCTGTTCGAGTGAAATCATTGGGGTGGGCCTAGTGGTACTAATCGGATATTTGTATCGAATTCCATTTCCGGTTGGAGGGATGTATGCGAGATGAAGGAACATGGGAGGTGGTAACGCGATGAAAACAAGACAAAGACCAATAGGACGAATAAGAGGGGTTCTGGCATGCCTGTGAACAATGTGAACTTCTTGGCACGTGTCTTGGCTATGTGTACTCAACCTTATCTCTTCATCTACACATTATTTTTTCTTTCTCCTTAGTCTTCTATAACGAACCAATCCTGTCAGGCAGCTACAGCAGGCACGAGGCTGATGAGCTAAAGTTATTTTGGTGATTATTTATTTTACACATACCAGTTTCTCGGGATTTATGTATCGTCTGAAGTTAGCACGTATATTTTATTCATACGGCAGAACCATCTTCAGGTTGTACTTTAATCTTGAATAATCCCGTATGACTATCTGATATAAGGAGGGTATACCTTCTTATCTTGGGGAATGTCTGTTCTTGGCATAGGCCCGGTATCTTATTAAGAGCATTAAGGAAGAAAGAGATTCCACGGGATCTCATCTTCGGGACGGAGCTGCGCCAAACGAGTGTATATACGTACTTCATTATTTAACCATTACTTATCGTTTATATAGACATCGGCCGAGTACAAATAATGACTGCGCAGTTTCGCTATAAACCGAAGCCCTTCCTTCCTTCCTTTATGGGATGACTCGTGCTTTACGCGCCCATCGGCTCCGTTGGTCGGCTGCTCAAAACGATCTAAGTGAATGGTTAACTAAGTGATTATCTTGTGGTTACACAATCGATCATTAATTAATGGATTGTCAGTCAAACGTCCTATTCAGACGGACCAGGTGCCCTTCGATCGGGGACACGAAACAATTTTCGTTTACGTGGGGGAGTTTAACCCGAGAATTATAGCCATTATAGGATAAGCGCTACCAAATGTTCTATATAGGTATACTTATATAGGTATTATATGTAGGGATGCATTTGTATTTTACGCGTGCCCTGGACTTGTTATATCGACGGAAATTTCAAGCTGTTTAATCGGTACCGTTCTTCCCTCGGGATACTTCTACCTACCTATATACAATGTACCTACGCCGTTGATCTCGCGATTCGCTGAACGACCTTAACGGACATCGTCCACTTGCTGAGTCAGAAGTGCACTGGCTAAGGTGCAGCTCGAGCCAGCATAGGAAGTGAATATTAAAGATTGAACGTGAGGCGTGCAGATTAGAGCTCTAATATACTCGTTCCTTCTAGACCGGCGGCTCGAGAGGCCGATTGTGTCGCAGAAACGAATAGCTAGAACGATAAGCGCAACAAACCGCATTTCGTCAGGTCAGCCGGTTACTTTTTCTAGTGTTTGGAATTGTACATTGCGATTGTTGCGATTGTACATAGTAAATTGTGCCGACAGGAACAATTGAATATTTTGCACACCGTCTACAGCTCTTTGGCACTGGCTGTACTTTCTATGTCCCTTGTTACAGTTTTAACGATTACTTCGAGAGGGGTATTCGCAAAATATCTCATTTCGAAATATATTCGGGAACGAATTGTAGCCGAGATATCAGAGGCGCCCAACCGTTTCTCAGGCACGAAGGCGAAGGCTAGAATGTTTGGTATGCTGTGTATAGTAGCATTCGTAAAATCCGTGCACAGTAAGATTATGGCGTATCCGTTGGTACCAGCAACGGTATACCCCACGGTTCTCTTCTGCTAACGTCTGAAATCTCGAAAAAGAAAGCGTGGCCAACGTAATTTAGAAGAAAAAGCGCAATTGTGCCGCACCGCTTTAGATAGCAGCAACATTAGGGAGGCCCGTTAAGGAACGCATTTATATAAACGACGCAAGATTATAGAGGGGAGCCTTTCTCCGTGTTCCTCAAAGTATCCAGAACGTTCTCGGGCATTGCCATTGTTGCTACTGCTTCGTGAAACAGTTCCGACATTCTTCTGAAACCAATGAAACGCGATTAAGGGCACCACTCGTCGAGTTATCCAAGACAAGGACATTAAAGTGGCGCAATTTCGTGAAAAAAATAATATACATTTTTTACATGGCTACATAATTCATAATGGACCGCGTCGACTTCGGGTAAATCCTTCGACACCGGTATTATCGTGTAAAAAGTTATTAAGTGATCGATAACAATTTTCGAATGCATCGAGTAAATTTCATTTAAGTACACCAATATATATGTACATACGGGCACTCTCGAAATACTTTATACCCCGACTATGCTAATGCAGTAAGCATATGCCTAGACGGCAGTATGATTACAGACGATAGCGGGTTATGGCAGAAGATGGCGGCTGATTCCAAGTGCACTTGCGGTGGATGGGGGCGCCGGCGCAAGGGCAATTTGCCAATATTACGTTCGCCCCAAGTCTGGCTCGGAGCTCTGTCATTGGCAGTGATCTGATTCCGTGGAAATTAATAGGGGAAATATAGCTTCGTCGGGACTTCGTCAGCAAGCGGCATGGGGTAGGTACTAATTTCATTGGTTATCGACATCGAGGATCTCACGAGAGGGCCTATATGCATTTCTTCGTAACCTTCCGATCGACCTCGTACAAATTAGGCTACCCACGTCAGAAGGATCTATCGTGCGTTAAAAATTACTTAAAAAATTCATAAAGCAAAAAAACCTACAGTATACGTTATCCTTAGCCGAATCTCATGATTCTGGCTTTTTGCAATGAAGAATGTTTTTACTAATAAATTGGTCCCCAATTTGTATATTTCACGTGGTAATGGGCCAATTCTAAAGGTGTCCGTGATACGTAGGGCGAGACTCTCGCTGCACAGTGTACGAGGCGGCGTAACGAACGGCCGGACATTCGATACAGCAAGCAGGCCAAGGGTTTTTAACGGTCGGCTACTCGTAGACCACGAAGGAAAGAAGTAATTCTACGAGTAATCTTTCGCGCTCGATTCCGAAACACGTATGGCAACTACGTACGTAAGTACGTACGTACAGCAGTGGGCACTGTATAAAGTAATCCGTCAGCGAGAAGTGGGGTGATAATGCATGAGTGAGGCAGCCCCGCCCTATCCCTGTAACCGCGATAAAATCTCTCATTACGCAACGAAGCGGACCCTCTGCCGCGAGTCTGTTATCCTTAGACAGGTACTCTAATAAACCATGTATATGTGGAAATTTCCTTTTGCCTCGCTACTATTTGAATATTTGAGACGGTTCCGACGCCGACCGCCGACTGCCGACGCCATTCTCGCTGTGCTT